CCCAACCTTCCTTCCAAGGAGTGGCTAGTGGGTTTGAACTGCCAGCCTTCTGGTTAGCAGTCAAGTGCCTTAGGCACTATGCTACCAGAGCTCCCCCTATAAAAGTTTACAAGGAGTGGCTGGTGGGTTTGAACCACCAGCCTTCTGGTTAGCAGTCAAGTGCCTTAGGCACTACGCTACCAGAGCTCCCACTATAATAATATGACCCAGCAATTCTTAGTTCTACCAAAACTATTTACATACATTTTTAAGAGTAGTCAATAATGGAGTTGCTGAATAGATGTCTCTGTACAAAACACAGGCTGAAATCCTAGCTCCAGAGAATAGCCAGTTGATCAGCTCAAATCCATCCCCATTTCTGGAAGAACAATTTGAACATTTAAAGAGTGTACAATCTTAATTCTGCATTGGTAACTGTATCACTATAAAATCTTTAGAGAAAAGTAACAAAAAGAAGCTCTAAAGAGCTTACTTTATTTTTCCCTAATAAAAATCCATTGGTACACTGCTTGGCATTTCACCCCCACTCAGCTGTTCATCACAGTATTCAGCCTAATGCTGTAAGCTCTCAGGTAGAAACAGATGCAAAAAGGTATGTGTACATAAAATGCATTAGAGACTATCGGAGGCACTATTAGGCATAAAAGTGGCATGTATCATATACCTTTTACTACTTTACTGAAAGTCAATGGGTATTAAGACTATGAATTCCAAAATGAAATGCAGAATGTCAAAAATATGTCATTGTTATTTAAAACATAAAATTCAAGACTTTCTTCTTTTGGGGGGGGGGCTAGTTATATACACCAAAAAGACTGTAATGGTTCCACTCAAATGTGACTAACAGTGATGAGAAATGAAGCATTCAAAAGCTAATGCAGATGCTCCTGTTCCTTGTTTGTTTTTCCTTCACTTAATGCAAGCTTTTGGTGGAGGCAAATGAAATGAAATGCTCCGCCTACCACTACCTTCACCCTGATGTGCCTTTGTTCTTTTCTCCTGCCAGTGTTCCACATAAGACTCACAAAATCCTACCTGCACAATTATTTTTAGAGCTCTCTTCTGCATTAATATTATTCATAAAATCTGCAGGCTAAAGAGTAGAAACTGATTACACCTAGAGAGACAGGCAATTCATGCTCACATGTGTACAGTGATGTAAACGCTTTCCACCTCGGAAAGCCAAATCAAAACGGAATTTCAATTCTTCATATAATCAAGTGATATATCTCTATATCTATCTACATATACAGGAAGAAGGGGGGGGGAAAGCAAGAATTTTTCTTCCTATAAATGACTGAGAGCCTCTGTAGACATAGACAAAAAATCAGAACCAGACTAGATATTAGCAATTCAGGAAAATGTCAGAGAAGTTTGTGCCCTTCAGACTGCCAGTCCTTGGAGAGTGTGGCCAGGGCCCACAAATTTGGCAATTTCCCTGTTTAGGCAGCCATTTCTCAAATTAACCACACAAACATCTTTATTTCATTTATTTATTATGTGTAATGCTCACACACAGCCTTGCACTGCTATTTATCATCTCATCATATAAATATATAATAAATGTATATAATATATAAACTAAATAAATAAATACATAATAAAATTATATAAATGCTTCTTAACTAAATTGCAAGCTTCTAGGGGAAGCACCAAGCTGTTCATGAATTAATTAACTGACTGATTACACAAAAATGATACTTGGCAGACATAAATTTAACTGGAAGTTATTTCATATTTTCCAGGGTGACTCCTAGAATCCTTGCAGTGTGGAAAAAGGAAGTGACTGGAGAGTGTGACATTATATAGGTATTGATTACAATGATTAATAAATATGAGCTTTATGTTATGACTACCATGTGAGCTTAATGTTTACCATGGTTTCATTTTATGATGGGAAAAGGAAAGAAGGGCAGGGCCAGCCGCCAGCAGAATTCTGCTTCCAACGTTTCCCACTCCCCTTGAGTACGCTCTCACTCAGTCATGAATCACCAATAACTGTCGAAAGCAACCACTAAGGAACAGATCCAAAAAGGAACTGAATGAAGCTCATGCAAGTATCAGACTGGCAGTGTCATTATCAATAGCATTTATTATGCTCCAAGTACACAGAACTCTCTTTTAACTCTCAAAGCCCAAAGTTGGTTCTTTGAAAAGATTAATAAAACTCATAAAACCCTAGCAAGACCCTAATTTTAATACAAGTTTTAACTAAGATATTATTTGCATAATGAAACTGTATGAATAAGTAGTATTTTTAATGTTAAATAGCACAAAGAAGTATAGCTAAAAATATTCAATTCACCCAAAAGAAAGAACGAAAAGAGGAACTAAAAACAGAGGGAACAGATAAAAGATAATATGAAGATGGCATACTTAAACCCAGCAAAAGAGGGAACATGACCACGGACCCTACAGAGATTGAAAAGCTAATAAAGGGATATTATGGGGCAATATTATTTCCATAAAATTCAACAACTTTGATGAACGGGACAATTGCCTTCAAAAACACAATTTACCAAAACAATGTAAGAGAAAATGTAAATATCCCTGAATTATTAAAAAAGTTAAATCTATAATTTAAAACAAAACAAATAAAATAAAAACAGCTTGCTATAAAGAAAACTTCAGGCCCAGTGGCTTCAATAGTAAATACCAAACATTTAAGGAAGAAATAACAACCTTATACAGACTCTTTCAAAAAACAGAGGACCCTTCCTGTTTTATGAGGCCACTATAACCTGGACAAGAAGTATATTTGTGAGAAATACACTTTAGTTTTTTAGTTTAAGTATTGGCTGCATTTTACATTGCTGTTTTCCCATAGTCTTAACACTATCCATTGTATTTCATGTAATCAGGTATTTATTAGGATACCTAAAAAGGGGAAACCTAGGTAGGAGCTTTCCAGGCATGTCTTGGTGTGCTTTAATTACTAAGGTTGATATTTACTTTGAATTACTCCAGTTCAGAGCAGAGAAATATGAAGAGGCAAAAAAAAAAAAAAAATCTCCATAGGTGCATGAGAGAGTTTCTAATTATTGTGTAAGCACCTGAAAGTGTTCATGGTCTTGACTCTTCATCTAATTTAGCCCAAATTAATTCTGCCTTTCCAATTCTAGTCCACACAGTTAAATGGCATTTCATTTACTTACTTTGCCCACAAGTTCCTATTTTCAGCTCCCCATCAATATGGTGGTTCCTCTTCTGGAGTCCTGTCAAGGTCAGAATGAAATAGAATGAGCATGACTTCAGGGCTATGGCCCTCTGAGATCTCAACACCAACAAGACTCAGTCATGAATCATCAATAACCATCGAAAGCAATCACTAAGGAACAGATCCAGAAAGGAACTGAATGAAGCTCATGCAAGTATCAGACTGGCAGTGTCATTATCAATAGCATTTATTATGCTCCAAGTACACAGAGGTATGCCATGAAGAGCTGATCAACTTCCTGCCAGCTATAAGCATATATAGGTGTGAGCCTATTTTAGAATGCAAAGATAGTAACAAATACATATAATGATTTGGGTTCAGCACACATTATGACAAACCTAAGAGAAGATGGTTTTAATACTCATTTTCTGGGCCCACTACCACTGTATTGTGCTTAGCACCAAAAGAAGCAGCCTTAGTACAGCTTCTGGAGAAGATATTTCTGGTCCACCTCCAAATTTTGGTTAGATGCTTTGCTTTCTACTGAAACAGAGCCCTTTTCACAATGATTCACACAACTGTCTTACTACACAACAAACTATAACATATTCTATTGGAACAAGTAAAATGTCTGTATGAGAATGTTTCATGTTATATATGTGAAAAAATGTTTCTTAAATAATTGCAAATTTTATTTTTGTAGAGCAATAGTTTTAAATAAGGAGCTCTGGTGGTGCAGTGCCTAAGGCATTTGACTGTTAACCAGATGGTTGGTAGTTCAAAC